AATAGGCGCCTGCGTGATTTGCAACGAGCGGTAAGAGTATATTCAACGATTTGTGGGCTTGATTTGTAATTGTACATAAGTTTATTAAATAGTGACACGTTGCGACATAATGTATACAGCAGCAAATTTAATTAACTAAGGGATGGACCATTAGAAAAGTGATGGGGGGAGGGATTTTCTAAGAGGCAAGATTTTTTTTTGTACACCCATAGAAATTTTTTTTTCTCACTTGATGGCTGGAAATATATATTTTTTATTAAAATTTATAGGCCTATCTTCCAAGAAAGGAATTTTTTTTGCACTATGCCTGGGAAGATTTTTTTCCCTAACTTTTTCCTGGGAATAAATTTTTTTTTGGTCCCCCCCCATCACTTTTCTAATGGTCCGTCCTAAGGTCGTCCTTTCAATGAAGTGGAATCTCACAATCAGGTCCGTTGCACAAGAGTTCATCATATCGCTGAACTGAAGAATTCCTACAGGTCATAAAAGAGATCCACTGAAGAATTCCTGTTAATACCCATGAAGAAAGACCCTGGATAAAAATTAAAATTTTTACATTTGACCCCTGAGAAAATCTCATTCAAAATAGCCATTACCAGATTACCCCCAAAGAATTCCACACAGAAATTTGCTTCCCTGAGGAATTCCAAAGCTACAAATTTATCACCTCATTCCAGCAGAATTGAAAGCTGAAATAGCCCATTTTGTGCTGGTACTGTGGCACAAGTGTACATCCTTGGGCTATAGTAACCCCTTATTCATATTTGAGGATAAATACAGATTTGTGTATTTTTATTTTAACTTGTTTATAACAAATTTTAAAACACAAAAATTGTTTATCAGTTAAGGACTAAGGAGTCATTTGTGAATTAACCCATTGAGTGACAGCACTCTCTCCCTGATGTGTAAAATCCTTGGCATTAGACACAGTAAAATAATAAGGTAGGTCACATGAGGGTACATTGCCACTTAGAGGGTTATATGATATGGACAATCGCATATATTGGATTATTGGTGCGGAATTTAGCTTTTTGTACCTAACTGATGCATGCGATAGACCGTGGTTATATTTCACCCCAGGGCCGTAGCAACCAGGGGGGGGGGGGCTGTTTGAAATTGTAAATTTTGACATACTAAAATGCTGTTTTATGACCATCGGAATTCTGTCAAATCTTTCCCAAAGTTCAGGAAATGGCATTTCAAAGACTCTAAATTTAAAACTTTCCTCGGGCCTTTGGCCATTGCTTTCAGTTCCCCAATCAAAAACAGCTTCCCATAGCACTGCACTCCCTGAGCTATTGGCATTAAAATTTTACATAACTTTATATTAGCAGTCAGTGACAGTGGTGTAGAACTGAATCGCTAACAAAGAGGGGGAGGGGATGACAAGACGTGGGGTAACCAGGCATTGAGGGTGCAACATGGTAAATATGGATAGTTCCAGTATTCACTTTTGGTTCTAGCAGTTCTTCAATTGGTGATTTTTAACTAAAGGGCTTAACATCAAATAATACACTCCAAAATATTGAAGCTATTACATGTTAAAGCCACATAAATATCATCAAATGGTTAAATCATAGTAAGGTACAGATTACTGATAGATTATAAATTTTGCAATCTGCAAAATATTGCAAGGTTAATCTTCACAAATTGACATGAAATTTTTAACAAGGGGACCCCTGTTAAATTTGCAATCTATTAAATAAGCAAATGAGTTGCAAGTAAAAATCATGAATACATGATGCAGTTTACACAACATGAACAAGTGAGTTTTTAAGCTAATAGTTCAGTCCTATAACCAGAATAAGTGGACCTTATGTATTAATGTTAACATATAAATACAGCCAATGGCTGCAAGGTTTATCAATTAAAAACATATCTATCTAAGAAATACCAATCCAAGATTGTGTGTCACGTACCTCGTGTATCACTTCAAAACAGCCAACATTTGAGCCTTCTTGAAAAATAGAGCTAGCATCCAAATATGGCAGTTCCAATGTAAACAAATACGATTTTTATGCAGACTATTGGAGCAACCTGGACTATAAGCCATATTAAAGCGTATATAGATGTAAAACTTCACAAAACAAAAATATAAACGTTCAGAAATAACGGTTCGACGAATAAATAACACAGTTATTGTCAGTTAATCCACCTCGGAATCTACTCCACTCCTCGATAGTGAAACGTCGACATAATTCTGTATATTCTTGATGGATTTCTTTCAAAAAGCCCCCAGAAGAAAAAGCGTGATTAAAAGAACAATTTGACGTTCACTTTATACACTTACGAAGACTTTAAGACCGTTAAAATAGCGAAAATGTATGCAGGTATTGCTTCGTATATAGATCAGTGGGAATTTCCATTTTGTGACTATTCATGGAGAAGGAGAAGGAGACCAAATTCACCCGAAACCTATAGTTGCTGGCACAGGTGCCCCAGCAACTAATAATGCAGCGTGCATCGGTGCACACAGACATTATTAGCAATAATGCATCTTCGTCACCCTGACATGTACACGCGATAACGTGAACATCCCAAGATGAGAAGGTGACAGTGCTCTGTGAGTCTTTTCAGTTCAATTTTATAGAGAAATAGTTTCGTTTGCGCTTGTGGGATTTTATCCTAGATATACGCATGTGCAGAATACACCATAAGTTCTATTCCCGTGTTTATCCAATACGCTATTTGAGTAAACCTTATCATTAATGATAATATGTAAACTAGAACACTATAATTGACCTCCGCTTGTGGAGATTTTAATTTAGGGCGATTAATTAAACTGAAATCTGTTCTATCACAATGCACTACAGTGCCTATGGTTGTGTCTATATGTATGTCCTCACAAATGTCTAGTGTAACGTTAATGGATAGGTTCATTGTCATACGGTCCTGACAAGCAGCAACGTACAGTAGTCTTCCAGCCGAAAATAATTACTTTTGATTCGGGTCAGTAATTATAATAGATAACAAGTGAAAGTTGGCCATGGTATTCCCATGCTATGCATACGATGTATTGTACATTATATCAACATAATATATTCGAGAATAGTTGTCCAGCTAAACATGTATGTCAAAATTATCACATCTTCTGGTTTTAAATCAACAATTCTGACGGATTTTGTGCAAGGACATCTTCGGGTTCCGTTTCGCTTTGGCCGATGCTTGCCGGAAGTACACTTATTTACCGGAAGTTGTCGTCTCCTCCGCAGGCCCTTCGATCTTCGACTACGCGCGCGGCTCGACACAAATGGAAAAAAACAACAAAAAAAACAAGAAAAAAAAAAAAATAGGAGCCGAATTTAAGACCTCGGTGTCGTACCGACCCGAGGTAATTAGTGAGAACGCCAGACAGTTGGTACGAGACAGGGTTCCTCTGGAAGGGGAACCATCCACCACTAGCCAACAACAAAGAAGGGAGTATTAAGCAACTGGGAAGCCTCGTAAGGAAATTAGATAAACAACCGGACATGCTAGAAAAATATGATTCAATAATCAAAGATCAACTGTCGCAAGGAATTGTCGAGCGAGTAGGAGAAGAGCGAAAAGGAAAGGAATTTTACATTCCGCACAAACCAGTCGTACGTGAAACAGCAGAAAGTACTAAAACCCGAATTGTGTAGGATGCTTCCGCTCGTCCAAATGAAAGATCACCTTCCTTAAACGAATGCCTAGAACCTGGCCCAGCATTATACAAAACCAACTATGGAGTGTTCTAGTAAGAAATAGATTCCACCATGTAGCTCTATCCGGCGACCTTAAGCAGGCATTTCTGCAAGTTCGTATAAGGGAAGATGATCGTGACGCCCTCCGCTTTCATTGGCTCAAAGATCTTGCAACAAGGAAAGTGGAAACACTGAGATTTACACGAGAATTATTTGGCCTTTCTACGTCGCCGTTCCTGTTGGGCGGTGTTATTGAGCAGCACCTGCAGAACATGGATGATCTCATAACCGGAGGGACAACAGTTGAGAAAACCGAGCATCTTAAGAAATCGTGACCATCTTTGGTGAGGCGAAATTTGATTTGCACAAGTGGCATTCGAATAATCCAGCCCTCGAAACGGAAATAAAACCCCTTGAAGCGGAAATAAAACCCCTCGAAGCGGAAATAAAACCTCTCGAAGGGGAAATAAAACCCCTCGAAGCGGAAACAAAACCCCTTCTAACAGTCGAGACAAGTTATGCGAAAGAGCAATTGGGAGTGAAACCTGGAGAAACAAGTTTACCCGGTGTGCCTTGGGACAAGGAAAAGGATACTATCAAAGTGAACTTTCCGGATTCGTTGAAAGAAATTACGAAACAAAGTATTTTGGGAAACATCGCCAAAATATACGATCCTCTGGGGATTGTATCACCCACAACATTACAAGGAAAATTAATCTATTGAGAAGTCTGCGATGCGCGAATGCCTTGGGACAAGGAACTAAAACCAGAATTGCTTGCCAAATGGATTTCGTGGGAACAAAATCTACCAAAGGAAGTGGAGACAACGAGGAGTCTTGTTGCTTATGAAGAAGAAATTGAAGCAATTGATCTACATGCCTTCGGTGATGCTAGTGGCAAGGGAGTGTCATCGGTCGTATATGCCGTAACCGAGCAACAGTCCGGTATCAACCAAGGTATCGTAGCGTCGAAGTCCAGACTCGCCAAGTGTAAATGTATATATTAGCATAATTAGTCATTCAAATTGTAGTGCATGTGCTAAGATGTGACACGCCGAACTTAGTTATTAGGAATTGAGAATTAGACGTATGAACAACCTTTCGAAGCAGTTTAAACATTGGACAAATATGTAAGTTATCTAGTTAGAAATTGAACATGATTTTATTTGATTTTAGCTTAGCTTAATCTAATATTTATTGCATTAACTTTGTAGTTTACGAATTCAAATTATACAACTAACGACAAAGTCTACGCGAATTCAGTAAAATAGTCTAAACAGAAGCCACGACACCTCTTAAAAGTCGGTGATAGATCTTGAGAGTCGAATCGCTTCAGCTACAGTAAAATATTTCGGCAATATTGACCCTGCTTCTCGGTTTGTGAAATGGTTTCCTTTTATGTAAACTGAACTTGACTTATGGAGTAATTATTCGTTTGGTCATGGATGAACTCCACGGGATTTCGCAAGACGAATTTGTCGAAGTCGAAGATCGGCCAATTCAAAATATCGAGGATAACGAGAGGCCAACAAGAACGAGGACGTTAACAGAGAAAGGAGCAGCCTACAAGATAGAAATTCTACGGCGTAGTAAAGACGACGCTTACTCAAAATTGAAAAAACAGATCAAAACACTTCGTAGTCTATTAACGAGCGACGTCACGCTTGAAGAGTTTGAAGCTGAAAGGAATAAACTTGATCTGCTTAAAGAGGACGTTAACGAAGCGTATATAAATTACGGCGATGTATTGACTTTAGAAGAAGATAAAGATTCTTCGTATAAGTGGTTTGATCAATGCGATCGCGAGTTTCAAGAGTTTCGAGCGCGAGTAACTGAGAAAATACACGTTCTTGAAAGAGATATATCAAGTCGAAGGCTCTCACCATCGATTTTAAATTATTCAGAAACTTCCCATCGTTCAAAGGGTTCAACTAATTCCCATCGTTCAAAGGGATCAACTAATTCCCATCTGTCAAAGGGTTCAAGTAAATCCCATCGGTCAGAGGGTTCAAGTAAATCCCATCGGTCAGAGGGTTCAAGTAGATCATCGGCTCGGGAACGCAGAGCATCGGCAGCGGCGAGAGTAGCAAGGCTTGTAGTCGAGAAAGAATTTGTTGATAAAGAATCTGAGGTAAGAAAATTACAGTTGTCAAAAAAAATTGCAATGGCAAACGCCGAGGAAATTGCCATGAAAAAGATTGTCGATGAAGAGGAAAAGAGCACCAGGAGATACAAGAATGTTACAACTGGCTTTCCGACTGAACCGGATAAAATGTTGTCTTCCAGTTCCAAGGCCGAAAGAGTGATAAAGAACGAAACTGGTGTCAAAACAACTATCAAACCATCAGAAGATCCCACGTCGATTCTATTTCCAATTCCACCAATTAAACCAGAAGGATCTACAATTAAACCAGAAGGATCTACGTCGAGAAATTTTGAAGATATTCAACTAAGACTTCCAGGTCTACCTGTGGAGAGAAAGCAAATAGGGACTCAAAGTCAAACAACTGGAACCAAATGTCAATCAACTCATCGAGAGAATGATGCATCTATCAATGATATCTTATGCTTGCAAGCCAAACAAACGGAGCTAAGTGCCATGATAGTTGAACAACATCGGACAAGTTTGTTACCACTTCAAGAACCACCTGTGTTTGACGGCAATTACTTTGATTACCCAGTATTTATACGTGCTTTTGAAGTTATTATTGAAAGAAGAGTCTCATCGAACAGAGATCGACTTTATTTTCTAAATAAATATACCACAGGAAAAGCTAATGAAGTAATCAAGGTGTTTATCACTTCAAGTTCCGAATCAAGTTATACGAAAGCGAAGCAACTTCTTGCTGAAAGATATGGCGACCCACATCGGGTTTCTGATGCTTACAAAGTCAAGTTGAAAAAATGGCCGAAAGTTAAAGATGGAGACAGCGTTGGATATCAAGAATACTCAGATTTCCTTTGTCGCTGCGCAGAAATTATGAAAGAAATGATATATATGGACGACCTAAACTCCAGCGAGACATTGAAATTAATTTCTGGAAAATTGCCTACGTATTCTGGAGTTAGATGGTGTCGTTATGCGTTTGATATAAAGAAGAATAAGTATCGACCAGTAGTATTTGAAGATATAGTAAAGTTCGTTAAAGAAGAAGCAGAACTCGTTACAGATCCAGTATTTTCCCCAGATGCTATGAAAGCAGATCGTAAACGAGAACTCGAGAAAGAAATGGGAAAGAAATTAAAGATTCGTGGTGTGAACAATTTTGATACATTAGCATCTCAAAATTCTAGCGTAAAGAACAATAAACCAGTAGCAGATTGTGTCAAGTGTCTAAAGTCTCATCATCTGAACGATTGTGAAGATTTCAGAAGATTAACCTTAAAGGAACGTCAGCAATTTGTTAAGAAATCAGGACTTTGTTTCGGTTGTTTACGCGCCGGCCACCTCGCAAGGAATTTTCGAAACAGACTAACCTGTAAAGATTGCAAAAAACCTCATCCAACTTCTCTCCATTTCCCTTTCAAAGATAAAGAAGAAGAGATCCCCAAAGAACAAGATCAAGGAACAAAGACCGAAGGTCGTATCGTCAACAATTGCACTAACATTCGAAAATACGCAATCTCGAGTAGTGATACAACAAACGCAGCTATCATACCAGTTTGGTTACGTCATAAGGACAATCCAAAGAAAGAAGTTATGGTGTACGCCTTGTTGGACAACGGGAGTGATTCCACCTTCGTGAAGACAAGCATCCTTGAAGAGCTTGGACTTAAAGGAACAGATGTCAAACTCGATCTTTTTACTATGTCGGGAAAGCAAGAAATATCCGTTCAAAAGATAGAAGGTTTGGTGGTGAATCGCGTGGACAGAAGGGTCGAGATAGAATTACCGAAATCGTATTCTCGTGATGTTATTCCGTCAAGAAAGAATCAGATTCCTACACCAGCAACTGCTGATAATTGGACACATCTCAGGAGAATTAAAGATAAACTGTATCCATATCAGGACGGTGTGTGTGTTGGTGTACTCATAGGATGCAACTGTCCTAAAGTGATAAAGCCTCGAGAAGTTATCACTGGCAAAGGAGATGAACCTTATGCAGTACGCAGTCTTCTTGGATGGGCGGTGATTGGTCCAGTAACACCAAAGTCAGAATGCGGTGAAGATGAAACAGAAAACATTTCATGTAACAGAATTGTAACCAAAGAAATAGGTACGCCTAACCCAACGAGATGTAACTTCATTGTCAGTCCTCAAGTTAAAGAAACCATCAACCCATCAACAGTGACACAAATGTTTGAACAAGATTTCTCGGAAAGGAACAGTGATATACAAGCATATTCCATGGATGACAAACGGTTTCTAGCTAAAGTGAAAGAAGGTATCGTTCATTGCGAAGATTTGCACTATGAGATACCTTTGCCATTTAAGCAGCCTAACCCTAAACTACCAAACAACCGTTGTGTTGCCCTCCGACGTCTAAATCAATTGAAAAGAAGATTTGAAAGAGACAAAAAATATCGAGACGACTACATCACTTTTATGAATGGGTTACTAAAGAATGGCTATGCCGAGAAAGTTTCTGAGAAGAAGTTCAGTATAGAAGGTATAGATACTGTTCCGTATAGAAGGAACTAGATACTGTTCCGAAATATCACTTACTCGAACCGTCCTGACCGCGTAGCTCAGTTGGAAGAGCATTGGGCTAGTATTCCAAAGGTCGTAGGTTCGAATCCCACCGTGGCCGGGCATAGTTTTCAAGCTTGCCCGGTGTGGATATGCACTCAGAGTAACATCGCAAACATATTATTCACCTGAGTACACAACACCAACACAGAAAAATTCATATTAGTAAGAACACATTGGTATAGAAGGAACTAGATACTGTTCCGAAATATCACTTACTCGAACCGTCCTGACCGCGTAGCTCAGTTGGAAGAGCATTGGGCTAGTATTCCAAAGGTCGTAGGTTCGAATCCCACCGTGGCCGGGCATATTTTTCAAGCTCGCCCGGTGTGGATATGCACTCAGAGTAACATCGCAAACATAAGAAGTTCAGTGTTGACCAGGGCGGAGAGCATGTTTGGTACATCCCTCATCATGGAGTGTATAATCCAATGAAACCAAACAAGATTAGAGTAGTTTTTGATTGTTCGGCCGAATATAATGGTGATTCCCTTAACAAACACTTATTGCAAGGACCGGACTTGACCAATAGTCTATTTGGCATCCTTTGTCGATTTCGTCAAGAACCAGTGGGCGTAATGTGTGACATCGAAGCCATGTTCCATCAGGTGAAGGTGACTCCTGACTGTAGAGATTATTTACGCTTTTTATGGTGGAATGATGGTAATATATCGAGAGAACCTGACGAATACAGAATGGCAGTCCACTTATTCGGCGCAACATCATCGCCTGGCTGTTGTAACTATGCCCTGAAAAGCACTGCTGATGATAACGAGACGAGTGTTGGTTCTGATGCCGCTGAATTCCTGCGGAAAGATTTCTACGTAGACGACGGTTTGAAATCTTTGGCCACTACGTCAGAAGCAATATCTTTGATGAAAGAAACAAAGGAGATGTGTAGAAGAGGAGGATTTAATCTACAAAAATTTACATCCAACAAGAAGCAAGTAATCGAAGCCATTCCCAAGAAAGATCGAGCAGAGAAGATCAGAAACCTGGATCTCACTAACGAGGAAATGCCAATAGAACGGGCCCTTGGCATTCAGTGGTGCACCGAACGAGACGAGTTCCAGTTCAATATTATGATGAGAAGTCGACCATGTACAAGACGTGGTGTTCTATCAGCAGTGAGTTCTGTGTACGATCCTTTGGGTTTTCTTGCTCCAGTCCTGTTGGAAGGCAAGCAGATTCTGCAAGAACTTTGCAAAGAAATGATAGGGTGGGATGAACCGATTCCAGAAATGATCAAGTTGCGTTGGGAGCGTTGGCGATCAGATCTATCCCTTCTGAAGAAATTTTCCGTTAAACGATGTTTGAAACCTGAGAATTTTGGTCGTGTTATGCAAGTTCAGCTACATTCGTTCTCTGATGCCAGTACAAAGGGTTATGGTCAGTGCACCTATTTAAGACTGAAAGATCACAATAGCAATATTTATTGCTCGCTCGTGATGGCTAAAGCAAGAGTTACGCCTCTCAAACCTATTACAATCCCGAGACTCGAACTGACTGCCGCACTTGTTTCAGTAAAGATCAG